AAGTTTTTCTTCATTACCCATTTAAGCCGTCTCCAGCCATTATTACATATCCTTCTAGTATTATTGAAAGAGAGTGGAGTAGAGAGATTTAGCAACCAAAAATCCTCGGTTCACATTTTCTCTTGAGTGAAAGTAACTTAACCTATTATCATTCATAAGCACTTTGAGTGTCACATTTGATGCTCATATGAAGTTTTCTTCTAATTTGGTATGTTGAACCAAAACACACTGTTCCTATTGTCACAATTATGAGCATCAGCTGCATATAAAATAAATTTAGCTGTGTATCACAAACGATACTCTGGTGCTTTAGCATTATGTCCTGTGCATCACATGTGATGCACAGGACAGCAATATGATTTAAAAAAAAAGAAAAAGTGCCAGTTTGTTATAAGAATCTATGGTACTTTAAGATAATGATATTATTAAATGCTACGTTGAAATAAAGAATTCTCATAAACATTAACTAAATAACAGGAACATTGTTTTATACAGAGAGTTAAAAGCTAACATTCTCCTTAACTGAAAAAATATTTCTAATAGATACTTACCTCTCTGCACCACTAAGAGCTTTACATCATGTATAACTGCTGTAGAATTTCCTGCATATCAGAAGCCTTGAAGAAATTCCCACCCATACATGTGTCTTGTGTGTTTTGGACCAGCACATGACATAATCGTCATAATGCTGTAGCCATTCACTAACAAAAGTGCAACAACTCTTCCATATGTGGTAATCCCCATGAGAACTAGCACATGATCATAGACTCATATGCGACTAAGCAAAAAATGCACTGGAAATGTGAAGGAAGTTTGTGCAGAGAGGTAGGTATCCATCTGAGTTACATTTTCAGGTAAGGAAAATGTTAACTTCAGAATTGCTACTTGCTCCTCTGCACTGCTAACAACTAGAATCCAACATTGAAAATGGTGAAGAAGCCAGCACTGATCAATTACAAAGATGAGATCCTTTCTGAAATAGTGACAAAAAGGGAAAACCCATGGGGTGTGAATTCCATGAGACCAAGAATCTCCTAGTTGAGCATCTACCATTAGGAGACCCCATCCTTCTCAAGCAGGTAATACTCTTCCCCCAATTTGATGTTATTTATTCAATCATATATTACGTTTACATCATATAGAAATTTACAATAAAGGATATTGGGTAAATCCAAAGTAAGTGGTAATATGTCGCTAAGACTGGCAGAATGTAGAATGCATAATATGGCTAAAGTGTTAAGCCATTTTCTCTTGATGAAATATATGATATAGATATTGTAACCACAAGTGGAGAGAAAAAGAACTCTCACTTGTGTCCTGAGGCAAATCTAAGGCCCTTCCAGTTGGACATATCCACCAGAAACTGCTTTGATTATTGCTATAATCATGTCCTTTACTACACTTTCAGGGAACACCCCAACCCTACATTTCAAATGAAGAGTGGACTCAACTGGTCTCTTACTAGGGGAAGCCACAACTTGTATATGAAACTCTCCAAATAAGCATCCTAGCAGCTTGGGACTGGGGGAGTAATAGTTTTCCCATGCTCCACTAGAAAAACAGGGTGGGGAGGAATATGGATTGAGAGTATGTGTGGACTACTGTCATCAGGCACAATCATGTGGAATTGAGTTCCCACCAAGAGACAGTGCAATGGGTTCCCACAACTAAAGACAGTAATCAGGAGCCAGGCATACAGGTTGGACTACATCTAATGCCATCTTTTTTGTCTGCATTGTAAAAAGTGTGGAAACAGCTGTGTCAATTACAGATATATATTGTCAAAGAAGTCTTGCAGAAAACCCCATCTCACTGGTGGATAAGTTTAATGCTTTCCATTCTCCCTCACTTCATGAAGATTTTGGGTAAGTATTCCCTATGAGGCAACACAAACCACTCAGCAGGCTCCAACAACAACAAGCACAAAGAATGTAATGTGTAGTTCCTCATGCAATATTTGATAAACTTGCAATGTGTTGGAATATGTAAAAACATCATGGTACACATGCACAAGGAGGTATCATGAAATATATGAATGGCATTATGATGAATGAAAATAATAACAGGTCAAACTCATCATACTAGAGCCTCTAGGTAAACTGGAGAATAGTGACAGGAGGGAAGCAAAAATCAGAGGCACAGGAAATAAACACATCTGAACAAAGGCAATGCTGAGGAAAAAATAAGTTTAACGTCATGTGCTAGTGTTCACAGGGATTACTGTGCATGAATGTTGTGTGACCTTCCTACTGGTGGAGAGCTACAGCATTATGATAATTACATCATAGGCTGGCACAATACATGTAGAGTTGGGAGTTTGTTTAAAGCTTGTGGCATGCATAAGAAATTCCATGGCAGATGCATTGAAGATAATAGCTCTTAGTGGTACAGAGAGGCAAGTAGCATTTCTGAAAGACTATTTCCATTAATATTTGGCACCCTCTAAGCATTTAAACACTAATAAATTATTTAAACTTAACAATTAGTTACAAGTAAATAGACGTGATGCATATCTGTAGCTTTAGTAATAGTAATTAATGGCATTGATGTTAATTGATAAGGAGGATTTTAGTGCTAGATTTATATACAATTTAATTACAAAATTCTTAAATACTTAATTTTACTTAAATTTAAAATACTGGGTGCTGTCATTGGTAATAAGGATTTAAATCTAACAAACTGTAATATGGTTACAGATAGTTCAGGATTATATGCAAGTGTCTTTATATGGTATAAGTGCCAGAATTAGGTTATTTTTGACAATTGTGGACTTCATTGTATATCTGTTCAGAGGATTAGAATACTTAGTTTTTTCCTTGTCTACATTATAGCATAAGTAGTGAATTAGTAAAGTTTACTAACAGCATTAAAGAATGACTAAGATAAATTGATAAGTAAGAGAATTAGTTAGCAAGTGGCCTATAATTACAGTAAATGCAAGGTAATGTATTTAAGTTACTATGATTTAGATCTCACACTTAATACAGACAGAAACACAATTTACTAAAAGAATCTTTGTGTAGTAACTGATAAGTTACCATTATGGTAGTGTTCCAATGCTAAAATAAAGGGTCTAAAACAATAATTAGTGACTTGCACAACAAACCATGGCCTCTTTAGAAAACTTGTCAATATTCCTAAATATATATGATCCAAGTCATTCTGTAATATTAAGCAACAGTCCAAGATGATATCTCTGGGACACAACACTTGTAACATTAGTCCATTTAGATTGAACTTTGTTAATAACTTTGTTTCTTTCCACAGAGCCAACTCTCTATTCATTTACATGTAACTACCTCATCATTCAAGTAATTATTTTACAACTCTAAGCATCTTTTAAAAAGCAACAGGAAAACCCAAGTAAACCAAATCCACTCCTTTACCATCATTACATATAAAAAAGTAACGTTGTGATATAAAAAATATATAAAGATTTCAAAAAACACAAATAATATATCAGGAAGAGACTAAAATAGAATTTTTTCAAACATATTTTTAAATGTGTCAGAAATATATTCATATACAAAGTATAGAAATATGTATAGAGATTTAATAATGGATAAATTCACAAAAAACAAAAAGTTCTATGAAAATAATATTAAGGTAGATTATCTAAATTGCATAAATTTACTGGTCTATTCCATTTCAGATTCACAGAAACCAAAATCAAGTATATGCACCCTAAAATTATCTTTATCAATTATTTTGTATAGCAATTTTAACATTTAGTGCTAATTGTTGTGAACTTATATATTTCAAGCTTTAAAATTCTGATAAGGGTGCCTTGATTACTTTCTCTTACCTTGTGAATGGCTGACAAGGGGGACTCATTGTTATAAGATCAGGCTTCAAGTTATCTATTTCTTTGCTTGAAAGAGACTAAAAATCGAAAAAAAATCATAATTTCAATCCTTAAAGTGTTTTTAACCAAGTGTAACAGAAGATCATTTGATATGATAGACGTTCTTTTATAGAATAGGAAAGGAACCTATCCTGCTTAACATTATACTAAACTGTTTAAGACATGATCTTTAAACTCTTTGTTATTTCCAATTGTACTGTTTGTTTGTAGTTAAGCACAAAGCTACAAAATGGCTATCTGTGCTGTGCCCACCATGAGTATCAAAACCTGGTTTTTAGCATTATAAGCCTTCGGACTTACTGTTGAGTCAATGGGGGACCTAATCATATTGAAGATGTTGAGTTACTATGGAATGAATAAGTTGGACAAGCAGCTAGTAAAATGGCCTTTAATTAGAGAAAGTGCAAGGTAATATATCTGGGTTATCATAATTTAAATGAAAAATTTAATACAGATGAGAACACAGACTTATTGTTGTCAAGGCAAACTAACTATACTGGAAATGGGGAGGTGTGGTGAGAAGTGGTGCTGAGAGGTATATATATGTATATCTATCTGATATACATATTCAGCTAAGGAAAATGCTTACTTCAGAAATGCTACTCATCTCTCTGCACCACAAAGAGCTAGAAGCCCATAATGAAGATATATAGTGGAGGGTCAATGTCGAGAAATTACAACAATGAGCTCTTACTTGAAAACAGCATCTCAAAGGGAAAGCACAGGGAGGTTAAGGAAATCCTAGCTCTCAGTGGGAAATTGCATTCATATCAAACAGGGTATACACTTCACTAAATAGAGGTGGTAAAGCAAAAGATATTATCATGAGAATCATTTTATAGTGTCAGAGTGTTGCTAAAGTAGGGAGAATGGCAGATTGCTCCACAGTCCATTATCTCAAAGGTGAACAACAGAATATGATTGTGTAGGGTGGCTAGGGCTACAAGTCAGGTTTTTCCATATTGAAGAAATACTTATGTGAGATACTTGCCCCAGAAATCAGGTGCATCCCAGACCTATTTCCCAAGGCAAACCCAAGACCCATCCAGCTAGACCTGACCACCAGGAATGGCTTGGTTCATAATATATTCAGAGCCAGATTTACGTTCTTTGCCACTCCTAGGCCAATTTCAGACTAGCTGCCCTACCCATACCCACACTCAACCTTACTCACTACAAGTTGATTCATATCGAGTCTTGGGTGCTGATGCTATGAAGTTTACCAGCTTTACTGACTTGATAATTTAATGCATGAAAATGATTGATAATAACAAAGTTAACAGGTTTATTGAAATATGTATAAATATTGTCAATACAATGCAATTTGAGTCACAGTTTCAAGTGTACCAGACTCAAATATCTCAGCCTGAATTGGGTTAATCAGGAAATCATTTCACAAATTTTAGAGTGAACTTTCCTATTGGTGAAATCATCAATAGCATAATCATATGAAAATGTTTTCAAAAGTTCTCAGCTTTATGTCCAGGGTTTGAAATAAACTTTACAAATTGTTCCACAGTGACACCATCTTTACTGACATATTCAATAATGAAGGATAGTTAGTCCAAATGCAAAATATCTGGTATTGAGTCAAAGCTTCTATAATAATATTTACCAATCTTCATTTCTAACAAGTTGGCTGCCATGATTTCAATGAATTTGTAACTTACAGTTTTGAACAGGTAAAATTTTCTACCAGAACCACCATTATAAAGCATTTAATGTATTATCCCAAGAAAGGAAGAAATTCCACAATGAGTTCAAGTAGCATCGGGTAATTTTCACTTGAAGGCAAGTCAAATTTTTCATCTGTGTCTCTGAATGCCAATCCTCGAGATGAAAGAGTTATGACAACTATGACTTCATGCTTAAGGACATTTCTTTAGTATTCTTTTTCTTTCTGTTGCTGCTTGATTAGCTTGTGATTGATCATATCGGCCATACACATTCAACCTATTTCTCAAATTCAAAAGTTATAATTTTCCTATACTGAAAATGTATTTCCAGTAGGTACTTACCTATATTCACACAAATAGCTATTCTTATTCAGTGCTGCCCTCAGTATGCAACAGTTTTTTTTACACATGCCACAAGCCTTTTACCTCCCCTCCATTGGAAATTACCGATTCCAAAGGGTATTTCATGCAAATGTGACAATATTCCATTAATAGGAGTGAGACACACTCTCATTATGCATGTGACTCTCTCTATTCAATTCTACCTAACTATCACTATGAATTCTAGCAGAAATTGGAAGCACTGGTATTTAGTGGGGAGGAAGGATGGGAAGTGTGAATGTAGTTAGGTAGCTATCGTAAATACACCCTTGTTTTTGTTTTGTTTCTAGTTAGAGGAGATCATGTCATCTACACCAGCAGAACACCACTGTCCTACTCTCAAATAAATGGTTTTTATAATCATTTCTATATTCTGTTTATATTTCATTATCACATTCAGGAGGATGTCTCCACAGTCCACCACCATCGCAGTAGCTTGGAACTGGAAAGTGGTAAGAATTCTCTAACTCCACTAGAAGAAAAGGGGGCTAAAACACAGCGGAGTATCCGAAAGAACATCAACACCTGAGACAGTGCAATGGGTGACCACAAAACCCTATTTATTAAAGCAGACCATACCTATTTATTCAATATAAGGCATGGCAGGGATGGGCAATTAGTTGTTTCTGCTTTACCCATGTAGTTCATGGGTACAGTCTGAGATGGGCAAACTTATGAAGCAATGTTAGCATTAAGATAAACCTACCAGCATTCTTGTGAAACACCTGATCTCAACAATGTGCATTGCGTGCCTATGTAATTATAATATGCAAAGCGACATGGCTTTACAGTGTGGATTAGAATGTTTAAAGCATACCTGGTCTGGCACCACTTGTCACAGAGTGGGATCCAAACTATGAGGAATAATTAAAAAAGAGAAATAAGGCCCCTGAAAATAAGATAAAGAAGAATAAAAATAACTTACCCAGTCAAAGTTGCACCGAATTTGTGACCCTATGCAAACAGTGAGAGATGAATGTATTAGTAGTAGTCCATATGCCTGATTGAAGAATTTCCCCCAATGGACAATGAAGGTGAGATGACAGAGAAAAGGTAAGGTGTCTAATTTGATAAGAGGACATCTGGAACAAATTATGGGATGAAGATGACAGAGAGAATTAAGCCGAATCCAATTGGAAAGGATGGAATGTGAAAGATCACAAACACAAGATGGTTGCCAAGGGATAAAGAGGCAGGAATGGGCAACACAGAAGGAAGCCATACAGGCAATATAACAGAAAATAGCACCTACCGGATAAAGAAGTCTATCCAGATAAAACCGAGGATAAAGGTGGGAAATGGAAGAAAGGGAAATTAGCAAAAAAGAGGAAATACCCTATCATGCTGCTGAAGTTTTGGGGGGGAAGAAATGATCCAGACAAATAAGAATATATGTGGAATAATAATGAGTACACGAAACATCAATGGCAAATAAATCTGACCTCCAACATCCACAGGCTAAAATGAGAAGGAAATAAGTCTTAAAGGAAATGTGAAACAAGGAACACGTGGAAAGTGGTTCAAATGAAGGCAAAGTGAAGCAATGAAAGACCACATTAACATCCCAGACTGGAAAGGCAATTCCGGAAGGTACGCTTCATCAGGGAAAGTGTAGGAGAGGGAAATAACACTATGGTATTGAGAAAAATGAAAAGTGTGGGACAAAGACGCATGATAACCCAAGATCGAGGAGACAGAGGACCCCTAATCGAAAAGATATGTAAGAAAATCTGCAATACGAAGAACGGTGGGCAGAGCAGCTGAAAACCCACAGGCCAGAAACTAAAAGTGGAAAAAATTCCATTCATGCTGATAAACTTTCATTGAGGAAAGGAGATTGGAATGGGCCAGAAATGAAGCTACTCATTGGGATAAGTCTGTTCTTCTCACCATGAGCCAAATAAAAACTAAGCATCAAGAGAGAGGACAGGAAGAGCTGGATGAAGCACCAATGACAAAGGTTGAAAATGAAAGGAGGGGGAGGGGCCGAGGAAGAAGTAATAGATGGGTAAGTTGGAGCAGGAGAAGCCATGGAAACTATGTCTGAGCTGGCCAGTAAGGAGCAATCAGAAGGACTTGACACAGAGCGGTGTGGATGATTGAAATCAACTAGTGAAGAAGTCGAATGGGAGGAGTATTTGTTTGTCCATTCCTGACTGAAAGCATCAACAGCCAGGGCGAGAGGATGAAGGCCTGGAGACCTAAACAGAAGTAATTTGTGGTTTAAGGACGTGGCATAGGCATCTATGTGAGGAGTACCCCACTGAAAACAAAGCCGCTGGAAAACAAGAGGATTGAGAGACCACTCCATCAGATATATTTTGTCTGAATGGGAAAGACAACTCACATCAAGATTGAAAGCACCTGGAGCATGACATGCAATGATATGAATATCTTGCGTGTGGGCCCAGAGAGAAAAAAAAAATCCAAAGTATGAAACAAATGGATCGAGATAAGCAACCACTGTAGAATTGTCGGAAGGAATCATTACTGGCCAGATGGAGGAAATAAACCTAAGCCCGATGTATGGCCAGAAGCTCCAAGATGTTGATAAGATCTTTTGGCCATAGATCAAACCATGCCCCCCATCCCTGAAGGGATGCATCCTTGCAAATATGTAAATATCTGGATGAAGAGGAGGAAGCAGGACACCTGCCACTGTGTGGGTCCTGTCCAACCACCATTGCAGATAGGCAAATAGGGTAGGAGGAAGGGTAATAAGAGCCTTCAAAGGATCCTCTGCAAGATTCCACTGGTCATGAAGAGCCCACTTAAGAACCTGCATATGAGCATGACATAAGTGGATAAGGGCTGCCATGGAAGACTAAATCCCCAACTTGATAGAACCTCGTGAGCTGTAATAGAGAGAGCAGTAAGAATTTGGAGAACTAAAAGCTCCATCGAACAAAGTTGAAGAGGAGAAGGTAGGACTCGACTGAGATGGGTGTTGAAAAAAACAC